GTGGGTGAGGGGAGGAAGGCTCGGCTGCCTCGCGGGCTGCGGGGGGCGCCGCAGGCCGGGGGAGGGCCGGGGAGGGGGGGACACGAGGGGGCGGCCCGGGGACTCGGCGGTGAGTCGGGGCTCTCCTTCCCTCCTAAACCGGGGGGTGGGGCCTTGCCCATGTCCAGCCCTCCATCCCCTTTATCCCAGCCCTTCCGCTCGCTCTGGGGGTGGGGTGGGGGGGGATGAGTGACCTGGGGGCGCTTTCAGGGGCGCTCCATCTGGATTTAATCGTTCTCTCTTGCTCCTCCCTTTTTGAAAGGAGGTAGGTAATACTAGTTAGGGTTTCCCTTTTCCATGAACACCCGCCAACCTCGTAACTGAGGATAACCGAAGGAAACCCCCGGTCTGTTTTGTGTGCGTACCCCCAGTAGGAGCAGGGTAATATCCCGCCCCACCCCCATTTTCTGCCCCTTAGGGGCAGGAGTAGGGAAAAAAGCACAGGTTATCTTACTTTTCTGCTCCGGGGCGTCAACTTGCCTGGAGACTCTCAAGTGCACACACACTGAACATCTTTTTGATGTCCCCCCCTACCAGCGTCCCCATAGTCCGAGGACACAAGGCTGCCCTTTACGTTGCTGTTTGCAGGGGGGACCGTGGTTCTGAAATGATCCCCCCCTTTTTTTTTCCTTCCTTGATCGTTACCCGCGCCCCCTCCAGTCCCTGCTTGCCAGAAGTCCGAGGATGTGAACATTAGCTTTCTAAGGGAGACTCTCCCCGGAGTGAGGGGAGACGGCTGAAAGGAAGCAGCGGCATTGGCTACAGACTGAGAGAGACCAGAGACAGCTGGGATGTGGTCCTAGTGCCCATAACTCGGCTCGTGGTGTGGTGTTGTTTTGACTGGCTTTTGACTCTCTCCACAAGAGAACTTTAACTGAGACTGCTTGGGATCGAGGGAAAAGTTTTTGTAGTTTAGGAAGGTTCCTTTTTATCCGCCGTGTTTTTCCACACATTAAATTTCCTGGCTGATGGAGAGGTAATCCACATGTAGCCTTTCCTCCCTGAGAGCTTGTCTGATTTTATGGCCTGTAGATGGTTGTGGCTGGATTCAAGGATGGTTGTTTTTTGTTGTTGTGTTGCAGTCCTGCCGGGGGCTTCCCCTGAGGGAAGTGTTTAAAATTGAGCCAATCTGTTTTGTTTATTGGGTGCAATCACAGAACTGATTATGGGAGCTGACAAGTAGAAGGGTTTTTCTCTTTAATTTGACCAGAAATATTCTCGTAGGACCCAATCTTTTTGACAGATTGTGACTAGGCATAGGGAGTTAAGAACCTACATGGAGCTGAATGCAGTGACGCACGCCTTTAATCCCAGCGCAGGGGAGAGAGAGGCAGGTGGATCTCCGCGAGTTTGAGGCCAGCCTGGTCTACATAGCAAATACCAGAATGCCAAGATTACACAGGGAGATTCTGTCTTAAACAAACAACTCTTCCCCCCCCCCAAAAAAAAAAAACCCTACATAGATAAAGTTTCATAGCTGTCAGACTTCAAGGAGTTGGTTCATTCATCCTGCTCCCAGAACAAAAGGTATCTAAAAAAAATGTTCTAGTAACCCATCTGATGGGGTAAATATTACTGTGTAAATAGGTTGAATTATAGAGCATTAGATTTAAATAGAGCATATGTAGTGTGTAGAAAAAACTTGCTGTGAAGAACTTTAAAAGTCCTTGTTACTGAGCAGAGGACCTGGGTTCCATCTCCATCATTCATATGGTTCACATTGTAGTTAACAGTCATCTGTAACTCCAGTTCCAGGGGATCTAATGCCCTTTCTGATCTCTGGCACCAGGCAGACATGTGGTGCACATAAATGCAGATAAAACACTCATACACATAAAATGAAATAGAGAGAGAGAGAGAGAGAGAGAGAGAGAGAGAGAGAGAGAGAGAGAGAGAGAGAGAGCGCCTTAAAATGCGCATAGACCCCCTTTGGGGGTCAAACAACCCTTTTATAGGGGTCACCTAAGTCCATGGGAAAACACAGATGTTTATATTATGATTCATAACAGTAGCAAAATTACATTTATTTATTTTATTTTTTGGTTTTTCGAGACAGGGTTTCTCTGTGTAGCTTTGTGCCTTTCCTGGGACTCACTTGGTAGCCCAGGCTGGCCTCGAACTCACAGAGATCCACCTGGCTCTGCCTCCTGAGTGCTGGGATTCAAGGCGTGCGCCACCACTGCCTGGCAAAATCACATTTATGAAGTAGCAACAAAATAATTTTATGGTTGGGGGTCACCACAACAGGAGGAACTGTATTAAAGAGTTGCAACAATAGGAAGGTTGAGAACCACTGGCATAGGCCAACCAAAGAGTATAATCTTTTTTTTTTTTTCTTTTCTTTTTCTTTTTTTTTTTTTTTCCCGAGACAGGGTTTCTCTGTGTAGCTTTGCGCCTTTCCTGGAACTCACTTGGTAGCCCAGGCTGGCCTCGAACTCACAGAGATCCGCCTGGCTCTGCCTCCCGAGTGCTGGGATTAAAGGCGTGCGCCACCACCGCCCGGCAAGAGTATAATCTTAATGAAGGGTTGAGAATGATTCACCTTACAATTTTCCCTGATTTTAAAAGACTATTATATGTGTGTGTGTGTGTGTGTGTGTGTGTGTGTGTATGTATGTGTGTACATATATATGTGTGTGTACAGTACCCTCAGAGGCCAGAAGAGGGTGTTGGATCTGTTGAACCTGAAGTTATAGGTAGGTATGAGTTTCCAACTTGGGTGCTGGAAACCAAACTCTGGGTCTCTGACAGAACCACAAACAATCTTAACTATCACGTCCTCTCTTCACTCCCACTCAAGTTTATCTTACTATTGAAGTTGGTTTGTTTGGTTTTTGTTTTGTGAAAGGCTGAGGCTGAGAGAAGTTAAGAGACATAATAGACCCAGTGAGCTTTAGTGTGAAAAATGTACTGAATGATAGACAATTAGGGGAATGCTTTTTGTAAGTATCTCATAGAATTTGTTTTAACAACCCATCAAGTGTAGTTAGAAGAGTTTACTGCTTCATTTGGTTTGTTCCCCTTTTGAGACAGGGTCTCACTGTGTAGTCTTGACTGCTCTGGAACTCCGTATACAGATTAGACTGGCCTCAAATTCACAGAGATCCCCATGTGCAGTTGAAGGCATGTGCCACGATCCCTAGCCAAACTTTACATTTTTTACCAATAGTAGGAAAAAAAGCATAGTATGTCCTGGTATTTGTAAATGAGAATCTTAGTTATTTCAACCTTTTTTTTTTTTTTTTTTTTTAAGTTTTAAATTTTCATGTTGTCTGTAGTTGTTTTACTGGCCTCAAGGAGTGACCAGCTGCTTCTTATATAGCCAGCACGTGTGTGTGTGTGTGTGTGTGTGTGTGTGTGTGTGTGTGTGTGTGTGTGTGTTGAGATGAACATGTGTAGAGACGATAGCTCAGTTGATGACTGCGTGGATGGTCGTGTTGTACTTCCACTGTTGGATGCAGGGTGTGCAGCAGACCTGACTAAGACAAGTATAGTCATCTACCATGGAGTTGCATCTCCAACCCTGCTACCTGGACTTGAAACATTTATTTTGTTCAGCCGAGCAGTGGTGGCACATGCCTTTAATCCCAGCTCTTGATAGGCATAGCAAGCGGATCTCTGTGAGTTCGAGGCCAACCTGGTCTACCGAGCAAGATCCAGAACAGGCAACAAAACTACACAGAGAAACCCTGTCTTGAAAAAACAACAACAACAAAAAACAAAAAAAAAATTTTTTTTTGTTCATCTTGACATTTTTGAGCACAAATCCATGCTATATGATTATAATACGTGTAGGTGTAATGTTTATATCCTAATGAGTAAATGTTGCCAGTTTTAGAAGTAATTCGTTCCTTTATTGGAAAATGGCATTTGCTAAGGTAGATAGAAACTGAATGGAACAGATACATATTCTGTTTCTCTTTAGTCTGCTTTTATGGTGTCAAATAAGTTTTGAAACTAAAACTAGTCCATTTTAAGTGTATAGATTGACCCTGTGGTTCAGTAGCTCTGTTTTTTAAAATTTCTTCTTATTTTATGTGTATGGGTGTTTTGCTGGCATGTTTGTATGTGCTAATAGAGCCCAGAAGAGGGCATCTGATTCTCTGGTATTGGAGTTCCAGCAGGTTGTGAGCTTACATGTGTGTGCTGGGAATTGAACCCTGGCCCTTTGGTAGAACAGCCAGTGTTTTTAACAAGCTGAGCCCTCTCTCCATTAGCTCAGTTTCTTTCTTTTTTTTTTTTTTAAATATTTTTTTAAGATTTATTTATTATGCATACAGAAGAGGGTGCCAGATCTCATTACAGATGGTTGTGAGCCACCATGTGGGTGCTGGGAATTGAACTCAGGACCTCTGGAGGAGCTGTCTGTGCTCTTAACCTCTGAGCCATCTCCCCAGCCCTCAGTTTCTTTTCTTTCTTTTTTTTTTGGTTTTCTGAGACAGGGTTTCTCTGTGTAGCTTTGATCCTTTACTGGAACTCACTTGGTAGCCCAGGCTGGCCTCGAACTCACAGAGATCCGCCTGGCTCTGCCTCCCGAGTGCTGGGATTAAAGGCGTGAGCCACCAACGCCCGGCCTTAGCTCAGTTTCTTAACAGATTAAAACCACTGTGCATGTCTCACCTAGCTCTCTGTGCCTTGTTGGTTTCTGTGGTATTCTTTTTTTTTTTTTTTTTTTTTAAGACAGGGTTTCTCTGTGGAGCCTGAGCTGTCCTGGAACTCACTCTGTAGACCAGGCTGGCCTCGAACTCACAGAGATCTGCCTACCTCTGCCTCGCCACCACTGCCAGGCTGAGCATATATGTATTCTTTATCTCTTAGCTGTCTCTCCAGCCCTCAAGCATTATTTTCATTCATTGAGCTGACTCAGCAGGTAAAAGCACTTTCCCCAAGCCTGATGACCTGAGTTTTATCCCCAGGACCCACTTGGTAGAAGGAGAGAATTGATTCCCTTAAGTTGTTCTGTGACCTCCACAAGTTGCACTGAGGTACTCAAGTGTCCCAAAGTAATAAAAAATAAATAAATGAAGTAAAACACATTATCTTCCATATCTAGGCAAGTGAACCAATTATAAAAGTAAAAAATATTTATACTTTTTTACAGAATAGAATAATTTTTTTTCCCCCTAACAGGTTCTGACTATGTAGCTCTGGCTGTTTAGGAGCTCACTGTGTAGATCAAGCTAGCCTTAAACTCATAGACATCTCACCTCTCACCCCCTACTCCCGCTGCACACCTTGCTGGGATTAAAGGTGTGTGCCACTGTGCCTGGATGAGTAAAATTGAATTTGTAAATTTATAATAGCATGCTCTTCATCCCTATACATTGAGTATTAATCAGAGTCCTTTGAATGAGGTAGAGAGTTTGCATGTTAGACAAATATTTTCATTGTTACAAATCCCTCACTAATTGGCCACATATATTTGTAAATGGTTCCAGTTTTCTTGCTCATTAAATCCAAGATAATCTGGAGCCTACTAGTTAGGCATCTTCAAGCCTCTGGCACCAAGGTAAACCTGGAAGCCGGTGGGGAGGCCCAGGGACCCAACACCCCCATTGCATGGTAAGAGGCAGTTGCAGTGTGCCAAAGGAGCGCTGGAGTAGGAGCAGAAGAATGGGCATCACACCTTGTCTTTGCCTCAGCTGCCTCTGGAAGTCTAGGCCTGTCTGTGATTCCCTGAATTCCTTCCTCATATATAA